CATATTATGTAAGGCCTTGAACACCAGGACGAGGATTTTGAATTCGATTCTGAACTTGATAGGTAGCCAGTGTAATTGTTTTAGTATAGGTGTGATGTGATCTGAACTCCTGGTACCAGTAATCATCCGAGCAGCACAGTTATGGACACGTTGCAGCTTTTCGATTTCCTTAGCCGGCAAGCCTGACAGCAAGCTGTTACATGAGTCAAGTTTCGACGTGATGAATGCGTGTACCACGCGCTCTAAGTTATTTCTGTCCAGGAATTTTCTCATCTTGCCAACAGAGGGCAGTGTTTTTTTCTATACGGACCGACCTATAGCCGGTAAATAATAATTTTATTTATTTTATTTGAATTTTATGCAACTTTGCTCGCAGCCTATATGTCGGTCCGTATAGGAAAAACTGCTCTCGGCCTTTGTACACTCCGCGAGGTCCGTACTGTCAAGTACTGAAGTCTGTAATGTTTCTTGTGATGTGTGTGTACGGTAAAGGGAGGTGTACGGTAAAGAGAGGTGTACGGTAAAGGGAACGGTGAGATTGTAATCATGCAATGTTGTCTGGAGGTGTGGAATAAGATTTTGCATACTCACCTGTCATCTTACTATAGTTTGACCAAATTTACAACTACAGGAATAGTCCCCTTCACGGTTACCTGCGCCATCTTGAAAGGTAGCCGTGTAGCGCTTAATAGTCTCCTTCACGGTTACCTGCGCCATCTTGAAAGGTAGCCGTGCCTTTGCATCGAAGCGAGACAACCGTTGAGCGTGCAATGATAGAAACCTGTGAATAATTGTCTGTAGGTGTGAAAGAAGGTTTCTATCATTGCACACTCAACGGTTGTCTCGCTTTGATGCAAAGGCACGGCTACCTTTCAAGATAGCGCAGGTAACCGTGAAGGAGACTATTGTACTTGTCAAGGTCAGAGGACAAGTCCATGTAGTTACTAGAGCGGATTTCGTATGAGTGGGAAACGGATGGTACTGTACTGTAACCGTAATCGTACTGTAACCAAATTCTAGTGTCCCATTGTTTCACCAAAATTCTGCAGGCCAGGTGCGGTAACTGTGCGGTAACCGTGCGGTAACGGTGTCCCACTCATACGAAATCCGCTCTAAGTAGTGTGCATTAAAAGCTTATTTGTTTTGTGTGCTTTTCAGAGTGCAAATCACATCAAAGCCATTGAAGGTCTTGATCGTTTGGAGCATTTGACAAAGCTTCACCTTAGAGATAATCAAATTGACAAACTGGATAGATTCTCTGAAAACATGAAAAACCTGCAATATTTGAATATGAGGTGAGCTGGGAAAGAGATTGGTAAACAATAGAAGAACATAAACATGTACCTTGGGAAGGGAGGGTTGCAGGGGGTACTCCCCTATATTTGCTCTATGGATATGTGCTGGGGTAGTCTGCGTAGGGTTTGTCTAAGATAGCGTTACAATTTGATCCATTTAGTCTGAATAGAGGTAAGTCTTGGCCAGTTTTAGTTTGGAATAAGCTGTCGTACACAAACAACGTAAATTCTGCTTAAACGTTATCAAAATAGGATGTGTAATTCTCGGGTTTAGTCTTGGTCAGTGTACTGTATGAAAAATCGAAATTTTAGGTCTGGGGTTAAAGTCAGGGTTTTGAAGGAATTATGGCGCCAGTTCACGTCTGCCTATATATTGGGGACTAGTGACGAATCATGGAAACGAGACCTCAAAGCCCTTCCATCAAGAAATCACTACGAAGATCGTATGGTGGCAGTGTCCAAAAGTTTGAAAGATGTATCGGTATGTTATTTATAACCAAACGCTCTTGCAAGACACCATGGAAGCTCACTATACGGAGGCTGGCCTAGACCTCGTTTTAGTGCTTCGTCCCCAGTGCCCTGGTCGACGACCGTGACACATCGCGCCATTTTTGAAAGTCGTGAATTGTCTTGATATTTAGTTTTCTGACATTCTCATATTATGATGGTTTTTTTTTTCAGGGGAAACAGTGTCTCGGACATCAAAGAGGTCAATAAACTAAAGTGTCTCCCATTACTGAGAGCTCTAGTACTCATGGGTAAATCTTTGTCTTTTCACTTTATTCATTCATTCAATAATTCATTTATTGCAGAAAAATCGTTGTACATGTACTGTGACATTGTGGAGTTTTTTCAGTGCGGGATCATTTTTGGGATTTTTTCTGAKACAAAAAAGGAGTGACTCTAGAATACCTCATCACTTTCTGGCTCAATAGAAATTTGCATACCGGCTCTTTTAAGAACGACACAAAATTCATGCATTGACGGGGTATTCTAAAGTTTAACCCCCAAAAAAGGAAGCACTAAATCCCATCGGTCGAGCTTCAAAATAAGATTTGAGATCGCGTTTAATCGTTTAATCAATCTGCTAATCTCACTGTATTGTTCTGATTCCAGAGAACCCAGTATCAGATGAAGACGACTATCGTATAGAAGTATTGATCACTTTACGAAGACTCGAGAGACTCGACAAAGATGAATACACAGATGACGAGAGACAAGAAGCAGAGGAGGTTGGTTTGTTGTTGTATTTTACTTGGGGAGACTTCATTGTTGCCACGCCCATTAACTCAGGACAAGGGAAATGGCGGCTATCATTCGGATGCAAGGTTCCATACGTTTTGACAATAATTATTTTTTTTTAGATTTACGAGCAAAGACGACAAGAAGAAGCTGCTGCGGTGAGTACTTAGTTCGTTGACAAAGAAATTTTTATCGCACTTGTGTAAATTCTCGCGCGCTGATTGGCTGATTAAAGTGTGTCAATAAGAGGAGATGCACACTGCGCTCAATTGAAAGAAAAGAAAAACGAATGACTTTCGCTAATTTTTAGACTAAAAATGTTGTAAAAAACAAATTGCACACTGCTCCTGGATCCACTTGAGTTTTGAACATTTTATGACGTCAAGAGTGTGTCAAATAAGAGGACATACAACTCAAAACCGTGCGCAATTTTTTTAACTTTTAAGACAAAAAGATCACCATAAATCTCTTCAATAGTTTAGAAAATAGATGATGCGGGTCACCAGTAACTGATAAATACATTTAAAGTCTATATTTAAGTCTCCATCGCCCTATAACCAGAAAATGTATCCTTCTAATGGACAGACTCAGACCCAAACACTCTAGCTCAACATTGGCTGTTTTAGCATACGTCACAGGGATAGATCCAGGATTTTCCTCAGGGAGGGGTGCAGGGCTCCCAGGAGGGGTTGCACTCCACAAAATCATTACCATGAAGAGAGATGCAAAATAAGGAAAGTATCGAAGGATACAGATCTAAGGAGGGGGTGCGCACCCCCCTGCACCCACCAGCTGGATACGCCCCTGTGTCACTCCTTACAGCTAGTTTTTGACGAAGGGAGGTAAAACAGCCCTTGAGGCAAGGAAGAGACTAGGATATACTAGGACTACAGCGGTGATTGACAGGCGTTGCTACAATCTTTCCTCTGTTTGTGTTCTTCATCTTTTGCTTCGGTTTTTGTCTCACTTTGGTCCTTACTGACCTTATTTTGTATTTACAGCAAGGAACACAAGAAATCATTCAGACTGACGAGGATGACTGACCGGGTTACCTGTCTAGTTATAATCCGCGCCGCGGTGCACTGGTTTAGTCCTGGTTTGAGATGATAGTACGACACTCTATCTGTCCCTTTATATCAATTGTTGTAAATAGATTCCATTGTATTAAATMTTTGATTGATCATRTGTTGTCATGTGGTGGGAACTTTCGTTAAATTGAACAATTTATTCAGTAACTTGACAGGCCGTAATGGTCTCATTACAGCAGACCAAATTGCTGGAGAATTACACAGTGTGRATGAGCCGTGTTCCTTGTGTTGCACGAAGCAAAATACACCAGTTTCGAATTCTCCGTTGCTCGGTTATCCTCATTTGTGTGCAAAATATGCCTAATTGTGAACGTAAAATCGTTCAAATCATTTTGTGTGTGTGTGAACGTTCCAATCAATTTTATTGTCTTTCTTCACAAATTTCATGTTTTCTCGTGCTATCAATGAAACAAAAGAACATATGTTGCTTGGCTTAATAACTGTTCTTGTACGAATTTTTTCTGGGAAAGGGCCGGATTTTGAGCTACAGTGTCTACAATCTCAAGCAAATGTTGGCACCCTTCTTTAAAATAATTTTGTTTCTTGCAAACGTTTTTAAGATCAATATCAAAAAAGGCTTATATGACGTTTTCATCGCCTCAAAAACGACGATTTAAATATTTTTCCTGGCAAAACATTCTTAGAAAGTACTCYTTGCTTGATAATTAAAAAATCTGACACTAGCTTTAAGTTACAACAAAAAAAAAATTGACACTCATTTTATTTTTTCGTCTCAATTACCATTGTTTTTTTAAACAAAGCTGGTGTCAAAAATTAATACATATTTTTTTATTATTATCATGAATCCTCCTAGCTGCAAATGTAATATATTTACAGAGATTCCTTGCCTGAAGAATTTTTTTTGCTGGAWTTCTCGCTGGCAACCAGTTGTGACTTAACAGCTGGCTGGGACATAAGAGCAAAATACATTTCTCCTAGGAACCCGTATAGTAATTCATTGCAGAAGTCATAGCCTCCTTTGCAGACGTTATTAGTATCGGTCATAAATTCCCTGGAGAGGGAATTTATGACCGATACTAATAACGTCTGCAAAGGAGGCTACAGAAGTCAGCGTTTTCCTGCAAAATGTTTAGGGAACGTACACGTACTGTGGGTACATGAGAAATTTCTCATCCCTCCCTATTACAATGTGCAGTTCAAAATTCAAAGTGAAAGCTGGAGTACGTTGCATAATGGAGTTGATAATACAAGTAAGACTGRATAAAATCTTTTATTGTTTCAGTGACATCAATATAATATGGACAAACGAACAAAAAATTATATGTATGAAAAGATGAAGTAAAA